CAGAATACGTTACTCTCATTGAGTAACGTAACGGAATACGTTACAGAATACATTTTGGGGCATGTATTCTGTAATCTGTAATGGAATACATTTTTAAAGTAACCTTCCCAACACTGCTAGCAAGTTGTACCTAATAAAGTGGCTGTGGAGTGTACATGTGCCTGTCTTCAGTTAGTCAATTCAAAAGAACGCATCTGTGCCTTTTTAGTGGTAACAGTGTTTTGTGCTGTGAATGTTTTGTACTTTTCATAGTCATTAGAATACTACTATAGCAAAAATAAGGGGTTTGAAATATCAGCTACTGGACTGTTTTGTTTACTTTTTTAAATTAATGTTTTTGATTTTATTGTAATTTGTTGGTGATTATTCCAGAATTAGTGCAGTATAGTACATTTAGCATGTGAGTTTGAAATGTCTGTTATGCAGTAATCTTGGCTACTCTTCTCTTCGTCCTCATGTATTTATTGTTCAGCTGCAGTTTTGTCTGTCATCATTTGGGTTTCCACAAAGTGACCCATTTGTTTCTGAGCCGCAGGTTTCCTGAGAGGACCACAAACAACTGTCAAAAATGGGGAAAGAAGTTACCTGAGAATCACCTTCATCCAGTTTTACCCAGTTGTTGGTCATTTATCAGTCATTTCAGTCACCGTGTCAAACTTGTGATCTTGTGGTGAAATGCAATTTTCCAGCTTGGGTGTAGTGTGGGCACCGAAATCCGTTAACGTGTTTCCTGGTATTAATCAAGCTGTGTTTGTGTGGGAAGAAGTAACGGACCAGGATCATCTGAACACTGACATTTTGAACTTACTTTTTATTTTTTTAGTCAAATTAAATTAATTAGCAAGCAAATGACATATGGGAGGTGAGGTTTCATCATCGTGAGGTTTTGTTATTTTAGATTTGGGGTTCCTGTTTTGTTTTCATTGTGAATCTATTCGTGTGAGGCTACAATATCAAAGCACTACAGACGCCAAGTTTTCATTTTTGTAAGGTAAAGGTTCTGGTTCCCATTTTTTGAATCCTCTCATATTTTAGTCTCATGGCATTTCCCTGCCTGTTCCTCCCTGTTTGTCTTGTTTCCCCGTTTCTGTTATGTTTAGTGTAAATCTTCTCAGTTCAGTCAATCACTCTTTATTCATACAGCACCTTTAAAACAGGTGGTGCAGATCAGTGAGACACACCACAGGACGAGCGCCTAAAATAATTGCAATCGCAGACCG